CAAAATGAAAACCCCCATAACCATCCAGTCTTTCCACAGTCATTGTCACTGACTATGCAAGCTAAGAAAATAGTCATTAAGATGGGCTTCAATCTCAATTTCATGACCCAATACACGGAAAATAACTATGAGCAAACTGAAGAAAAAAATTTTCTTTTATAACTTTGGAATTGGATAAATGTAATAGAAGTAGCTTCTAAAAATATAGTCAAGGTGACTGTACCTTTTTAAAAATTAGATGCTATCCCACACACCTTTTCCAAAATATGGGCTTCCCTTCACCTTGTCTTCCTTTTCTGCTCCTTAATCTGCTCTCCTTATCCCTCACCCAGTCAAGTCAACTGATATTTATTTAGTCCTAACTATGGACCTAATATGTAAGTGCTGGATATATAATCATAAAACAAACTTAGTTTTTTATCTTAAAAAGCCCGTGATCTTGTGGTCAAACATTAAACAAACGTTATAAAATAGGTACAAATTATGGAAAGTGTCATCTGAGAATATTGGGGAATAAATGAAAGGTTTAAATAGGAAATCTCATGTAGATTGAGGTGGCCAGGAAAGCTTAGTTCTAAGATGATCACTTTTATGCTGAGAAATGAAAGATGGTAGGAAACAGACATGCATTGGTAGAGGGAAGAGCATTCTAGACAAAGGGAACAGCATGAGAAAAAGCCCAGAGGTAGGAAGAAAGAAGTGAAAAAAAGAAAGGCTAAGGGTGGTTGGACTACTGTGGGCCAGAAGAGTGAGGACATGAAGCTGAAAGGTGGGCAGGAGCCATAAGGGTCTGCAATGATAGTAAAAGCAAATGATATCAGATCTGAGTTACATAAAAAAATACTCCAGCTATTGCATGAGAATGAGTGCCAGGGGGCAAGAGCAGAAGCAAGACCAATCAGGAGGCTTTTGAAATATTATACATCTGTGATTACAGTAGGTTGAGAGAGCTAGGGGAGGAAATGGAGAGAATTGAGAGGTTTTTGGAAGGCAGAAAATCAGGTGATGGACTAGAAACTGAGGGAAAGGGAAGTTTTAAGTTTCTGGCTTTAGCATTTGGATGGGTGGTAATGGCATTTATTGGTAAGAGGAACTCTGGAGAAGCAACAGGTTTCAGGAAAAGATCCATATACTGCTCTGTAGTTCAGAAAAGAGATACATGGACTGGAGATAAAAATTTGGGAGGAGTTGGTAATACAAAGGTATTTAAAGTCATGAGAGTAGGGCATACCACCTGGAGAGAGTGTAGAGAGAGGAGAGAGCCCAGGACCAACCAACCAAGCTCTGGGGAACAACATGAAGAATAAGGGTAGAGGATGGAAGCCACCCAAAGCGGGCAGGAGAGCAATCCTGGAATCTGGGAGGAAAACCTTGTGAATGTATGAGTGTAGTGTGTCACAGCAGATAGGAGAAAAAAATTGTTTCAATAAAGACCAGCATTCTACTGCATGGAATGATGCTAAATGGTAGAGTTATGATACAAACTAAGAAGTACAAATTTGATTCAGCCAAACCATAGTCACTGATCCCCTTAGTAAGAGTAGTTTGAATTATTTTTGCAATCTGTGTCTTAATCCAGTCATGCCCTTCTCTGTGACCAAAACCCAAAAGCAAGCAAAAACCATTTTCCTAACTATTGCTTGGAAACTTGTATACGCCAAGGTAAGAAATTCCTCCAAGTAGATTCAGAACCTCTTTTATTTCCTTCCTTATATGATAACCTCATCTTCTGAAGAAGACTCACCTCAAAGGAAGGGATGTTCTTTACCACAATCATTACTTAAAAACCTAATTCCTCCAGTTCTGGCGCCAGGAGTCCAAAATCAGTATCATCAGGCCAAACTCAAAGTGCTAGCAGGGCCACACTCTGGAGGAATTAGGGGGGAATCTGTTCCTTGCTTTTTCCAGCTCCTGGTGGCTGGCTGCCAGCACTTCTTTGGTTTGTGGCCACATGACCCCAATCTCTGACTTAATGGTCACATTGCTTGTCCTCTAAAATCTCCATTTCCCTCTCATAAGAAACATAATTACATTTGGGGTTGGCACAAATAATCCAGGATAATCTCCCTATCTCAAGATCCTTAATTACATTTAAAGAACCCTCTCCTTTGTTCACAGAAACATTCACAGGTTCCAGGGATTAGGATGAAGATATCCTTTGGGTGGCCATTTTTCAGTCTACAACAAAAGTTAGGTGCAATATAAGGTTATGAAGACTCTTTTGCTTCTCAGCATCTTTGAATTACCTGAAAATCCAGATGTTTCCAATTGTATTTAACTGATCCCTGAAATTGGCAACTTTATTGTATATACTGTCAATATTCCCACCAATACCCTGGGAGTTGATTTTGACACTAGGAAATTATCTTTAATGTGTACTGTATTACCAAGTAAGGTCTTACTAAACCTTCCTTTACAAAAATGCCTGTGAGGGCTTCCTTTCGACTCTCCTGCCTCTAGCTTGCCACTTTTCCACACCATCCAAGAAAAGCTTTAAAGTCCATTTGATGATGCCACCTGTGTGCTCAAGGGCTGTGACACATTATTTTTTCAGCTTTTACTTCCTAAAAGCACCAAGTCCTGAATAAGACCTTTCAAGACCCTAAGCATCAAAAATACTAATGTCCCTGATTCTCTATGAATCCTACGTTTGCTGGTTAAGAACTACATTTTATTATCAATACAGAGATCTACCCAACAGCAGTTTAAATAAGGAAGTTTATTTCTCTTTCAAGTAAGAAATCCAGAGGTAATTAACGGTTTGAAGAGCAATCCTTTAAAGTTAACATGAACAAGGTTCTTTCCATCTTTAAGGTAACCTCATAGTCCAAGATTCCTTCTGAAGTTCCAGTCATTTTATACATTTTTCGGGGGAGCAGGTAAAAGGAAGCACAGAAGGGCAGAAAGTGCTCTCACCTCTTCTCTTCCAAAGACCTTTCTAGAAATTGTGCACACTTCCTTTTGTTTTTCATTGGCCAGAACTTAGTCAAATGACCACATTGTACTGCAATAGAAGAAAACCTAATTTTCAGTGTGATACATTATGCAGGGCTTTGTTACAAGAATGCAAGAATGGATATTAGGAGGCAAACTGGCAACCCCTTCCTCTATGCCCTAAAGTGAGTTTTTACCTTCACAAAACCTCTCAGCAGAAATTAATTACCTTTACCCAAGTCCTAACAAAGTCCCTCTTCTGATGGATAGAAAAATCCCTCAATGGCATTATTTTGAGCAGAAATGTACCGAGGTGGGAAAGAAGTGGAGAGACGAGTCTAAAATACCTCAGCTAATTCCACAGTGCATACTTACAGAACTCCCTTATAGAATCAGCTAAATTATAGTCAACGGGAGAGCATAATTCCCCATACCTTAAAAGTGGTCTGTGCCCAATGATTTTCCAGAGTACAATACAGAAAGGGAAGGGAAAGAATAATTTGACAATGGAGAAACATGAGACACACTACTCCTGCCAGGTGATCAAGGTTAATCAACAGTCATAAATCACACTGAAAGTATATAACCTTGATATAATTACTTTTTATTTTTGTGATCTTCTTTCCCCAAACTCATGATCCCAGTCTGATCATGACAGAAAGATTAAAATTCTGGCAAAAGGGCATCATCCCAAATACCTGACCAGTACTCTTTAAAACTGCTAAGTCATCAAAACAACCACACCTATTACTGGATTATCTTTTTGCTGTTGAGTTTTAATAGTCCTTTATGATAGTATCTGTAGAAGAAACATAAAGGTCTTTAATTTTCATGAGGTTCTAATTCATCTACTTTTCGTTTTGTTGCTAGTGTTTTTTTGGTGCCATATTTAAGAAATCATTGCCAAATTCAAGGTCATAAAGATTTATATTAATTTTCTTCTAAGAATTTTATCATTTTGCTCTTAAATTGAGGTCTTTGATCCATTGTGTTAATTATTGTACATGGTGAGGTAGATGTTAACCTCATTTTTTTATATGTAGATAATCCAGGTTTCCAAAAACATTTGTTGAAGAGACAATTCTTTCCCCATTGAATTGATGTTGGGTCACTGTCAAAAATCAATTGACCACGGATATATGTATTTCTGGACTTCCAATTCTATTCCTTTGATTCAACTGCCAATCCTTTCTGCCAGAACCACACTAGTTTTTAAATGTAACTTGTGTAAGTTTTGGAATAGGAAAATGTGAATCTTACAATTTGTTCTTTTTCAACATTTTGGCCAGTCAGGGTCTCCTGCAAATTTAGGATTGACTTTCCCACTTCTTCAATAAAAGACCATTGAGATTTTGATAGGTATGCACTGAATCTGTTGACCGCTTTAGAGAATATTGTCATTTTAACATTAACTCGTCCAATACATGAAAACAGGATGTTTTTCCATTTATTTAGGCCTTAATTATTTTTAGCACATTTTGTAGTTAGTGTACAAAACTTTCAACTCTTTGGTTGCATTATTTCATAGGTATTTTATTCTTTTAGATGCTATTGTTACTGGAATTACTTTCTTAATTTTCTTTTGTTCATTGCTAAAATACAGAACCATAACTGATTTTTATGCTAATCTTCTATCCTGAATCCTTGCTGAATTTATTTATTAGCTCTAACATATTTCATGGATTCTATAGAATCTTATACATAAAAGATCATGTCATCTGTGACAAGAGCTTTATTTTTGCCCTAATTACTACAGACTGATTGAACTTGTAAGCAAAAAACAATAAAGAAACATTCTAGGCTTGTAATTTCAGCATGATCTTGAGAATCTACATAGGAATGTAGGCATTATATATTTCTTTCCACATCTGTATGTGTCATAAATAGGAAAGGAAGCACATTAGCCTTTGCAGCTGAAGAGCATATAACATATTATAAACATTCCAAAGTCAACAGCATTTTAAATTTTGCACAATTATAAAACAGATTTTTGTACTTGTTTTGTACTGAAGTATATTTAAGACATTTCAAAATAATGAGAAAATAGAAACAAATCTGAGAAACAATTTTACCTTTAAAATTTATTACCAAAGCTATACATACAAAATGAAATCCTAATTATAAAAGATGCATCTGGAATAAGTTATAATACACTTCAATAAGAATGAGTTCATGTGTGTATGTAAGTGACTTAAATGTTTTCAGTGACTGGCATTGCTTTATGCACTACATAGAACAGTATCTACTAATTAAAGTATCTGAATTACAAGGCTTTAGAAGGCTTTAAATACAATATCCAGATAAATCAACAACAAAAGGCAGCTCAATTTTGAAAGTATATTAGAATACAGAATCTCTCATATGAGATTATCCCCCATTCCTCTTGAAAGAAGTTTCCAAGAGAAGTTTTTTTAACAAACTAATATTAGAATGTCTTCTTAAGAAAAAAATTAATGCATGGCAGTGAGTGGTGTTTTATTGCTTTAAGAAAGAAATGTATTTTTGGTATCACTAATATAAAATTTATAATATTTATATTTACATAATCATATATAAAAATATAGAATATAACCAAAACATAAATTTTGATAGTTTTCAAATATGAAAACGTTGTGCTATTAAAAATGCTTAACAAGGTAGTTCTTAATATACTGTTATAATCATAAAAGTAAACAAAAAATATTTTAAAACGTATTAACCTTAATTAGAATTGTAAAAATGTTTATCTAAAATGCATTCATTTTCACATGAAAGTACAGAATTGTGCAGCCAAAAGTTGTTCAAGTGTCCTTGCAAATCATGACTTAAACACTGGTTTTTTAAGTGAATGGGCAGGCAAAAGGCATTGAAGAAAACAAAGACAAATAGAGTATGGCAAAGACACTATGGTTAAGTTTCTAGTATGATACAATAAACTATTTTTAAGAAGGAAAAAAATTAAAAGTGCTTAAATGAAAAATTTCAAAGTCACTGATTACTCTTAAGTGCCAAAAATGTTATCAAAATAACTTTAATTAAGAGTTGGCCACACTTCAACTATTGATATGTATACACAGAACTACTGTTACTATAATACCTTATTCAATCAAACTTCCAATATTTATCAGTTACCTCTGTAACTATCTTACACATGTATACAAATACCAGAAGTTTAAATATTTTTATCTACTATTTTAATCTTTTCCTTATAAATGCAGGATTTAATCTTGCATCAGTTATGTGAAGTCATGACAAAGGTTAATTAAATAAGAACTGAATATAAAGAATGTTTGATACCATGACATCATGATCTGGAACAACTGAAGTTTTCTACCTCTTGCTCGATTTTCTAGATAAAGCACAGGAAGGAAAAACAGCAGTAAGTTTCAATATGGAAAAAGCTAAAGAAACATTATCCTATTGCTTTAATTTATTCAGTAAACAACCTTAAGGATATTATTACCTATGTATATATCTGATATCACATAGAAATAGAAATTTTAGTTCAATACTATGACTATCACATAAACTGATTAACACTGATGGGACTTCATTATTTAAATCCCTTTGAAATGAGCCTGAGATGTGTTTCATTTCATCTTACATTAAATTCTAATAGTTATAACCAAGGCAGTGGTATACGTACAGATATTAATATTTTATGTATCATATTATTACACTATATAGGTAGCATAGTACATTTAGTAGGCACACTAAACAATAGATACATACTAGTAATGATAAAGTAAGTACCAGTAATATATACATACTATATAGTTATCAATTTTTTTAAGGTATCATTGATATACAATCTTATGAAGGTTTCACATGAGGAACACTGTGGTTACAACATTCACCCATATCAGGTTCCCCTGCCAACACCCCACTGCAAACACTGACCATCAGCATAGTAAGAAGCTATAGAGTCACCACTTCTCTTCCCTGTGCTATACTGTCTTCCCTGTGACCCCCCTACATTATGTGTGCTAATCATGTCCCTAAATCCCCTTATTCCTCCCTCCGCTCCCACCTTCCCCAACCCCTCCCTTTTGGTAACGGCTAGTCCCTTCTTGGCATAACTAAGTCTGCTCCTGTTTTGTTCCCTCAGTTTTGCTTTGTTGTTATACTCCACAAATGAGTGAAATCATTTCTACTTGTCTTTCTCTGCCTGGCTTATTTCACTGAGCATAATACCCTCTGGCTCCATCCATATTGTTGCAAATAAGAGGATTTTTCTTTTTCTATGGCTGAATAATATTCCATTATGTATATGTACGTCTTCTTTATCCATTTACCTATTGATGGACACTTAGGTGGCTTCTATACCTTGGCTACTGTAATAAACATAGGCATGCGAGGGGATGAAAGATGGTAGTGTGAGAGGAGAGACAGAGGCTTCCGCCTAAAACTGGATACAATTAGAAAATTTAATTGGCGCAACTAATCCTGAGAGAGCAACAGGAAACAGGGCGGCGTCAGACTGTACACACCTGGAGAAAAGAGAAGACCTCACCAAACGGGGTAACATTCCAGAGCTGCGGCTCCACAGGACCTGAGCCCTTACCCGACGCCAGCTCACCGGCGGGAGGAAGAAAAACGGGCAGGGAGGGAGTGGAAGGCTTGGGAATGCTGAATACCTAGCTCCGGAGATTTGCTCTGGGAGCACAAACCTACATTTCATGGTGCTTTCATGAGACTCGCATGACTACCAGGTTGGAAAGTTAATACAGGCAGAGTTCCTGGGGAGACTGGAATTATGGCCGCTTGTGGAAAACAGGGATCCATATCCGGCTGCTCTGGGACAAAAGCTTGTATCTGTGTGCATGGCCCACTGGTTCAGGCAGTGGAGACAGGCACAGCAGATAGGAAACAGGGAACAGCTCTTTCCTCCCAAAAGGCACCAAAATCCCTGCGACACCCGACATTGCTTCAGGGGCTCAGCAGCTCCAGAATACAGCTTCTAGACACTAGAGGGCGCCATATACAAACATGAAACGCCAAAGGAACCTTGTCCAGAGTAAAATTATTAAAACAATTTCCGAGAAAGATTTAAATGATATGGACCTTGTGACTCTTTCTGAAAGGGAGTTCAAAATTAAAATCATCAACATTTTAATAGAGATACGAAAAAACATCCAAGAACTCAGGAATGAATTCAGGTCAGAGATCCAATCATTGAAGAGCACAATGGAGGGTATTAAATGCAAGTTGGATAGAGTGGAGGAGACAATAAATGAAATAGAAACTAGAGAAGAGGAACACAAAGAAGCTGAGGCACAGAGAGAAAAAAGGATCTGTAAAGATGAAAGAATATTGAGAGAACTGTGTGACCAATCCAAGCAGAACAATATTCGCATTACAGGGATACCAGAAGAAGAAGAGAGAGAGAATGGTATAGAAAGTGTCTTTGAGGATGTAGTTGCTGAAACCTTCCCAAATCTGGGGAAGGAGATAGCCTCTCAGGCCATGGAGATCCACAGATCTCCAAACACAAGGGACCCAAGGAAGACAACACCAAGACACATAGTAATTACAATGGGAAAGATCAAGGATAAGGACAGACTGTTAAAAGCAGCCAGAGACAGAAATAAGATCACATACAAAGGAAAGCCCATCAGGCTAACATCAGACTTCTCAGCAGAAACCTCACAGGCCGGG